GGAAGCAAGCGAGATACTTGGCGCAAGTATTTTGGAAACGTTGGTCTAAGGAATATGTTTCACTGTTGCAGCGTAGATACAAGTGGACACAGTTAGAGAGGAACATACGAGAAGGTGACTTAGTAATGATATGCTCTGACTTCTCTGAGAAAAACAAGTGGCCCTTAGGTCTAGTACAGAGAGTGATACCAAGTAAGGACAGACTAGTGAGACAGGTAGAACTAAGGACAAGAAAGGGGATCCTAGTGAGAGATATACGTAAACTGTGTCTTCTTGAAGCGGTAGATGGTAGGTAGCTACTCGGATCCCTAGGCGTACTGGTGTAAGTCCTAGGGATCACGAGATTGTTGAAATATTGCATGCTTGTTGTTGATTGCTTGTGATGCACATATTTGGCTTGTTGTTATCTATTTTTGTCGGTGAAAAGAACCAAGGTTCTTTTGGTCGGGAGTGTTACGGGAGAAACGAAGACATTTTGCTGATCAAACCTTTATATATATAATCATTAATTTCACTGTTTTTTGGGTATATTTGTTTTACTTAACTTATGAACTTGTTTGAATTATTATTTGCGGACATATTGGACTCCCGTTTCTCTTTGTTGTTCGTTGCAGTTTTTTGCTCCAAGAGATAATAAATTAGAAGGTAATTGTAATTATTATAATTATTGTTGTTAGAACGACATTGGTCGTCTATTTGTAATAAAGTATTTTGGTCGAATTTGTGATTTGGAATAAACTTTGGTATCTACTTTGGAGTTTCGTTCTTGGTATAGAAATTTGGGACCGTGAATTACAAATAGACGACAACCGTGCTTCGTAAGATCAACGAGCAAAAAACTGGACGTAACAAAAGTTCTTCTAATTTACTTTCGTCATATATTGGATTTCTGGTCGTTTGGCTCCAAAAGTTCTTCTAATTTAATTTCGTCATAAACTGGATTCCTTTGGTCGTTTGACTCCAGAGGTTCTTCAATTCAAATTTTGGTCGTTGGAAACTTTTGGAAATTTGGGTCCAAAAGTTCTTCTAACTTTTAATTTGGTCGTTGGATACTTTGGACAATTCAGTTTTGGTTCTTTGGTTATCTTTTGGATACTTTTGGACATTTTGTTATTATTGGCGAATACGTTTGGAATAATTTCGTATTTGCTTGGTAATCGATTTCTAACAAAAGCATCCAATGGAAACTAGAAGCAAAAGGCTGAAGGAGCAGGACGAAATGGATGGTAAATTTTCTAAAGCTGTTTGTGGTATGTCTGATGTTAATGATGATAAACTTGATGATATTAGTGTTAATAGTAAGTCTTCCTCTCAGTTTAGTACTTCTAGATTGAAGTTAGATAACGCATTAATTAAGAAGAAGAATTTGGAAAAGAGACTTGAGTTAGAAAAGCAGCTTAAAATGTTAGAGCTTCAAGAGGAAGTTGATATGGCTGAATTAGAATGTAAGCTCATAGAAAACGATAACCAACTGTCAGTAGACAAAGCTGAGATAAATTCTAAAGTCGAAAGGTATTTGGATTGTGATATTGCGCGTAATAAGGTAATTAACGCCTCAAAATGCGATTGTATTGATGAATTAAAGGACACGTTACGTGCTACGGTTAATAATACAGTTTTGCCTAAAATCGATATGATGTTTTTTGACGGACAACCAAGCCAGTACCACCGTTTTATTAGTCAGTTTACAAGCATTATAGAGAGTAAACTGTCTGACAAGGGCCAGTTGTTGTCATATTTGTCTTACTATTGTAAAGGAAAGGCCAGAATGGCTATTGAAGCTTGTATTTCTTTGCCCAGTCACTTGGGTTACGATAGGGCTAAGGAAATTTTGTATGATTTGTTTGGTAAAGAACATCTCGTTGCCCGTAATCTTATTACCGAATTACTTAGCCACAAATCAGTTGAAGGATCCGCCGATGGCCTTTTGGTCGAATTTGTGATTTGGAATAAACTTTGGTATCTACTTTGGAGTTTCGTTCTTGGTATAGAAATTTGGGACCGTGAATTACAAATAGACGACAACCGTGCTTCGTAAGATCAACGAGCAAAAAACTGGACGTAACACTACTGCAATATAGAAATGCCAGACATTCGGTGACGAAAGAGACTCCATCAAAGCTATCAAAAGGAAGAATTCTTCGGTCGAATATGAGATGTTTGGAGTCTGCAGAAGTCACATATTATCTTGGCAATGATCTTCGACCATCCACGGGGATTGTTCTGAAGAATATCGGGAAATCTATGGTGCGACTTCTAGATATCAATGACTTAAGTACACACAATCGACATTTTTATCAAATACAATTCCAGGAACCAGGTGAGTCTGTCCCAATTTCGGTTGTTAATTCTATACTAATGAGAGCATTCTAGATAAAACAGAGCCTTTATCCAATACACTGTCGGACAGACACAGGATGAATTTGAGAAGACGACGTACAATTGATTACAGACACCTTGATTCAAATTTAAGCTGTGGCGGATGTGGTGTTTGAATGAACTAGTGACTTCTTGTTGTTGTTGAGTGCTTGATTTCGAATTCTAAATGCAATACATTCGTTTGTGCTTAACCCTTAGTTCTTGCTTCACATACTTCTAATCATCATAATTTATCAAGTTATTTTAACGAAAAGTGAGCGGTTGATGCTTACGTTGAAAGAGCTATGTTCAGGGTTTACAATCGGAGTTCGTCAATTTCCTTGACTCGTAACATCCCAGTCTACGAACCATGTTTTTATTTATTCCATTAAGGCCTGTGGATTAGATAATTTGTCACAGATACAAATGGTATTCTCAACGGTTTAGTATGGTTCGGAATAATCGTCACACAACGCGTTCTATCGAACATATCTAGACACTGATAACTGCGAGAAACCGTGTCCATAGATCGATCACATTATCGTCCTGAAAGCCTATTTCCGCGTAATGGAACTAGGCCATTATGTTATTTGTTATGAATAACAAGAACTATATGGTGATACACTCTGATACCTTAGGTTTAGTTAGCTCATGAATGAGTCCAGCTATCACAGGAATATATAAATATCAGAAAGGTTATCAAAATATATCATGCACAAATTTAAGAGGAGCGGACTAACACTTAGAATGTCTTCTGGTAGAAAACATTTCGTCAATCTCCTCAATGTATAGGATACGACAGCATTTCTGGAAAAGCCATAATGACCTTCGTGGAAACAAATAACTTAATAAACAGTGAACAACATGGCTTTGGGAAAAATCGATCATAAGCAAAAAACATTCTTATAGCTAGACAGAGATGAACAGATTAGCTGGATAATGAAAAATTATTGAATGTTTTCCACGAAAACTTGAGAAAATTCTTCGATAAAATGCCGAACGATTGACTCCGATTATAGATAGAAAATCTTAGAATCGCAAACCTTAATCTCAGGTGGATTAAAAGATCTCCGCTATGTTAGATGGAGGAAGTAACAATAAATTTTGAATGCCTATCTCAGCGTCCAGTCGGCAATTCCCTCTTTAAAGGATGAGTCGGTTTTCCTTAAAGAAGAAGAGCGGCTGTCTCGATGGTTCCAGAACTCAGAAGTTCATTACACACAGAGGGGCTTAAAAAGTTAGATCTCTTTACTCTGCCCTGTGGCAGATTAAAAGGAAATCTAATTTTGATAGACTTTGAACTCAACAATATGAAGTGATTCTGAACCTGACATATCCGGACCTTTTTCTGTCAACTGGATCAAGACAAATTAGAGTACATAGAAGGTGGGTGCAAAAGTCGAGAACGAAAAAAATACGTTAAAATAAAGGCTTTCACAATGATTTATCAACCCCTAAAACCTGTTACCATGAGACATGTTGTAAATACTGACTGGTTCAATAGAAGAAACTTACCAGAAGTGGACTGACGAAGGTAGAAAGTCTCTTGTCTGGACTCATGATCTGATCTACAACTCCAGCATTCGGCAATTTTGCGTTTGGCCAGAAGTTACCTAGTGTGCTGAGGGTGGGGTTTAACGATCAGAATGTAAGGTAATCTTGAATATGAAAGAACAATAGAAAAGTTGAGCCGATGACTCAGTAAGTATGTAGAATGCACTTAGATTTAGTACAGGAAGCAGCTAAAAACAGTCAGAAGTAAAAAAAGCATGAGATTACGACGAACCGATGATCAAAAGCAGAAGTTCGTAGAGCTAGATTTTGTACGAGCTACAGTCCTATATTTCGAAGTTGGCGGTAATGTGAACTTTAGTGGTTCGGTTTCCTGGGTCGTTTAATTGAGTACGCACTTTGTATGAAAATAAACTCACTGTAAGTAATCAGAAAGTTTACTGAAAATGCATGCACTGCTGCAAATAATTTAGGAGACCATTTGTCCACAGTAATGTTCCTAAGCAACCAAATAAATCTGATTTTAGCCCCAAAGTAGGCTAACAAAGTTACTGCTTTATCTAAGTTATATAAAACTTCGCCATCAAGGATTTTATTCTGTTTGAATCAACATAAAATGGGTAGTTTTAATAGTACACTAGCTGGTGAAATACATTCTACATACATAAATAATATATACATATACATATATCTGCTGCTGAAGCATATGTACACTTTCGTAGTGGTAATAAAACCCTAAGTAGTTTTTGATAGTGGAAGCAGAAAGTTAACAGAGTTCTTTAGCTTTGCGGTACGTACCATCATAAAGATTAAACCTCTATTTGTACCTACTAGCAGAAAGTGGTGGTTAGGTTTTTTGACGTTAAATTTTAATTTTTAAAAATTAGATGCGAAGAACAATATCCTACATCCGACTTTTTGGTCCTGGTTTTTTAAATGTCTCGAGTTTGAAAATGTGTTAAGTCTTTACAGTAAATCACAAAGAAAAAGAAGTCTTTATTAGCACTCACAATTCATGCTACTATGACTAACTAAGTCTACTTTGAACGTACCTAAAGATGCTTAAATGTTTATTGGTGGACAGTTACTACACCACATATTGTTGAGTTGTTTCTACTTCTACCAGTAATGAAAAATTATGGTGTAAGTTCATACCGTTCAGATGATTTGGTTTCAGCCCTTAAAATTTTAGCAACAGCTGTATTAAAGTATTTAAAACACCTCAAAACTTGCACAGTAAACCTCAATCTCTTGAGAATAAGGACCAAGGCTGCTAGAGTCAATACCGGCAAAAGTTATCCGTTCGAATAATTTCCCTATATTGGTAACTTGGTTCGTCGAAATTTATGAAAGACGTTTCTTTGTCTGTGAGAATGTAAGTCTTCACTTCCGTATGAAATGTTAACTTCCTCTATATCGAACTGATGGCTCAAAGTATTATTTCACTTTTGATTTGTCCTCGTCGCTCTGTATCGTGGTTATTTGGATTCATGATTATCATATACAATTTAGTTGAGTTGCAGAATAACTGGATCTACAAACGTACTTGTCGGAAAACACTCTAGTTGTCAACCTGCGACATGAAGTTCAATATATTTCATTTTATTCAGCACATCCACTTTTTTTCGTTTTAGGTTAACCTTTTGTGTGTATTCAGAAATTTTGCTGTCATCCAGTCCCTCTGTTCTCTCAACATTTCCCGTGCCAGTATTTTTTGAACTTATTTTTCTATGTTCATATGGAGAAGGAGCATCGTGATGTCATTAGAAAGTTACGCGTTTATCTTGTACGAAATGTTTCTAACCTTGAAGAAATCCTCGATATACTGGAAGCCGCACTAATTATTACTGAAAATCAACGTCAGTCAATACTTTCTGGAGTTACTTTATCTGACAAAATACGTCAGTTTTTAGATATCATAGTCAGATGTGGTCCATTAGCTTATGACAAATTTAAGCAAGCTCTTCTAGAAACCAACCAGAAGGGTATATATGATGTACTGAACGAAACAGAGGAACTAAAAGTCACTACTAGTCATGGTATATCATCAGATTGCCCATCTGATAAAAGAAGTGACTCCATGATGACCCCAGACAAAGCTACCTCGCATCCGCTAACGCCCTACACCGTAACTTCGTTTCCGCGTGGTTACGTTCTCATAATAAACATTGAAGATTACAGTCCTGAATCCGGAGTACCAAGTCGTCATGGTTCGTCGCATGATGCATCTAAACTCCAACTTCTTTTTGAAGACTTTGTTTACAGTGTCGCTGTCATTAAAAATCTAGATGGAGAAAAACTTAAGAAAGTTGTTCAAGAGTTTGCTTGCAAACAGGAGCATAGTAACGTCCATGCGGCTGTTCTTATCATTTTAGCACATGGTTTAGAACATCATATTATAGCAAGTGATGGTACTCACGTTAGTATTGACGAACTAGTTAGTTGTTTTACTAACAAAAGATGTCCTCTCCTAGCTGGAAAACCGAAGCTCATACTCATACAAGCTTGTAGAGGTGAAGAACGTAATCATAATGGTGTTGTAAAGCGTGATTTCTCAGACTCTATATCACCAAACGTTTGTGAAGTGTCACTAGATCCCAGCTCTTGGTTGTCACTGCCACATATGAGCGACTGTGTAATCGTGTATTCTACTCTACCTGGATTTGTGTCTTGGCGATCTGAAATAGAGGGGAGCTGGTATGTAAAGGTGTTCGTCGAGGTAACAAGACTGCATGGGCATAGGCTTCACATTCTTGAAATATTAACCGAGGTTAACAATAGGCTTGTGTCAGAGGCTTCAAACTATGGTATCAAACAAATATCTCAACCAGTAACAACACTCACTAAGCCTTACTATTTGTCCACTCTGAAAACTTGAAGTTAGTATCTGACTTAAGATCGTAGTAATCTACTTTCACCCCAATACTACTAGCTTTATTCTAAAAAACTTGTGATATAATATCCTACTTTGATTGTAATCAAGCTTATAGATTGTTTTTATCACTACCTATGCATATGTATATAGAACAATTTTTAATAAATAAATATTTCTCCTATCATGTTTCAAATTTATCCATCTCTGCTTTACTTTGGAGCGTCATGTCACTGTGCATACTTAATAATCTAAGGAACTAGTAATCAGGACAGTTAGGTGAACTAGTGCTCCAGATATGTCTATAAAGATCAATGTTCAGCAGCGTACAAGCTTCATTTTATGTAGCAATCGCGAACCCATCAGTAGGGTAAATACATTCTTTCTGTTTCATTGCGATTTTCGTGACATTTGCACCCTTAGGTATTTCAATAGTGCTTGTGACTTTGTAATAAGTTGTACAAAGTTCATACGAAAACCCGACCGAAGCTGCTACCTCGACGCGGTGGTCGTGCTTGCCTACCGCGATGACCCAACCGAGCTATATTGGCTGTAACTTATGTTCCTAAAGGTTCTACCATGCCAGGCAGGTCGATTGGAGAACGATGAGACTAAAAGCAGCTACTCAAGGTCTGAGGGCGAAGTCGTACTGCTGACTGCAGAGGGGTGTGACAGCAGTTAGGTGTTTCCCTCGGACGACCAGCATCTGCAGCGATGCTGCCTTCTCACAAGGAAGGAAGGGTTAGAAAAGGTCGACTCTAAAAATGTCACACCTCCCCTAACTCACGGATTTCCGTCTCCGGCGGTAAGAGTGCCCACTAAGGGTTTTTAAGAGCGGGGCTAATACTCAAAAAACCCTTCATAAAAAGGCCGTTCGTGACCGGACACAAGCAGTTGTCCTTTGGACTCTGTGGTCACGCTCCCGGGTCGTTAAGACCAACACTAATCTATCTTCCTCTTCAGGTCCCTCAAGGAACAACCTTCCACGGTGTGGGCAGCCGGGAAATGACAACGGCCCTCATACCCGTTACAGCACGTGTTAGTGGGACATAGATGGAATTAAAGCATGACTACGTTGCTGCGCACTGATTTGCTAATTTCCTATCGAATCAGCGCCTGACTGATTCTTGGAGAACAGGGTGGAAAATTCTCGTGTTGTTAGCTGCACTCTGATTGGCTTAATCTAATCCAGTCGTTCTCGTGAACTGCTATCCAGAAGCTGCTCATGTAAATACTAGAAAGTTACTAACGTTTCATCTATTTTTGCTTTCGGCTTCGTATTTCCATTTAACCTTCCTATTTGGAATATAATCTTTTCCTGTTCAACAGTGTTTTTGATTCTTTGGAACTTGTCCAGTGTATTGTGGTCAGAGAATAATAAGCAATAGTATTTAGCTGGGAATTATTTAAGCAAGCGTTACAACAACACACGAGACCAAAATGTTCAAAATCAAATCCTTCCTACACCCCATAATACCTCTCTTATCTCCACGATTAACTCTACTCACATTCCTTTATCACACTGCACAGCTAATGCAAACGATGCGAGTCCTCGAAACGTCATTCCTTGTCTCTTGAAACCCCGTTCTAGACTACATGTTGGAACTTTTAATGTACGGACATTGTGTCAAATAGAGCAACAGGCTTCCTTAGCTAGGACTTTAGAATCTCGTGCCATCGATGTACGCTGCGTCTCGGAAACGCGCATACAGGATCCGAGTAAAATTAATAATCTGATTTCACCTTGTCAAAATAAAGAAGCAGCTCGATTTACTCTTCGTGTATCTGGAAGCCCTGATGCAGCTTCCAGGGGTCTCGCTAGTGTAGGTATAGTATTGAGTCGTAGGACAGAACTATCTCTCCTTGAATGGATCCCTGTAGATAGTCACTTGTGCGCCGTCCGACTAAACGGGACAGTAAGGATTCGAAAGGATAGGGACAGTCGTCGTTGCCTCTTCGTCATATCAGCATATGCCCCCACTGACTGCAGTTCAGACGATGTAAAAGATGAGTTTTACAGAAAGCTTTCGGACCTCCAAAATGTTAAGCGCTCTGATATAGTAATAATGGCTGGTGACTTTAATGCTCAAGTAGGTAGACTAAGTGAAAATGAAAGACACCTAGGTGGATGTTATTGTGTCGCGGCTCACAGAACAGACGATGGCGACCGTCTGTTGCAGCTGTGCTCAGTTAACCGCCTATTCCTAGCGAACACTAACTTTAGGCATAAGGAGAAACATCTTTTGACCTGGCGACCCTCAAAGTTGGATTCAACTAGATCACATCGCCATCAGCCACCGATAGGGGGGTTCGATAGAGGACTGTCGCTCGTTCTGGAGCACATGTCTAGATTCAGATCATGTCCTAGTGCGAGCGCGCATCTGTTTGAAGCTTACTGGACGTAGGAAAGACACCGTAAGGAAACCTCTTAGGGTTTTGCTTAATGATAATAAAGCTAGGAATATATTTCAGGAACAACTAGAAAGAGAGTTAAGCAACCATGCAAGCGATTCCCACCCGGGAGCAGGTTGGTATGATATCAAAAAGGCTGTGGAAACGGCAGTGATATTTGCTAGTAAGGTAAACCATAAGGCTAGGATGAATCCGTGGATTTCAGTCGCATCCACCGAACTGATGGATGCTCGAAAACTCATCCCGCCTGGCTCTGAGTGCGATGAGGAGCGGAGTCAGCTTACACGTAAGCTGACAAGAAGCCTACTCAACGATCGAGAACAGTGGTGGGTGGAGAAAGCGAGAGAGATGGAAAAGGCAGCGGCGATAGGCAACAGTAGGCAACTATTTAGATTCATCAAGGAAACCGGTATTAGGAACCCAAATGTGAGTGAGACTATCTCAGAAAAGTATGGCTGTATAATTTATTCTCAATCGAGGAGATTGGACCGATGGGCAGAACTCTTTAGGAACCAGTCCAACTGGTCTTCAGCCGCACTTCGGCTGCCCACGATCCCCAGTCATCCTGAACGGCAAATCGAAGTAAGTCCTCCTAGTCTACATGAAGTTGAGAAAGCGATAGGAAATCTAAAGGGAGGACGAGCTGCAGCTCCTGATAGACTGACCCCTGAGATATTTAAGGACGATGGTCCAGTTTTATCAGCTAGGTTGACTGAGATCTTAGGTAGAATCTGGGAACTGGACGTAATCCCATCTGACTGACAGTCGCCAATTGTCCCAATCTACACGAAAGGATAAAAGTCCTCTTGTGACAATCACAGGGAATAAGTCTAACTAATATAGTTTCTAAATTGTTATGCTCCATTATACTTAGACGCCTTACTAGTGCTCGTGAAGAGCAGACTAGAGAAAACCAGGCTGGTTTTCGACCTGGACGTGGCTGTATAGACCACATCTTCACACTACGACAGGTCCTGGAACACAGACACACATTTAGGCGTCCGAAAATAGTTGTCTTCGTGAACCTAAAAGCGGCATTTGACTCAGTGGATCGTGAGGTTCTGTGGCAGTGTCTGTCATTGAAAGGTGTACCAAATAAGTACATTAACCTTATACAAGCTCTCTACTCGAACACCACTGGTCGAGTGAGAGCTTATGGCGAACTGTCAACGAAATTCTTTACTTCAAGTGGTGTGCGTCAGGGATGTCCACTCTCTCCATTCTTGTGTAACTTTGTCGTAGACATCCTCTTAGAGTAAACATTTAGGTCGTCAGGTTTTTCAGGGGTGGACCTTCTACCAGGAAAATCGCTTACTGACCCAGAATATGCCGATGACATTGTCCTAATTGGTGAAGACGCTGACAAAATGCAGAGTTATCTGACTACCCTAAGCAACAATGCAAGCATGTTCGGGATGCGGTTTTCCCCCTCGAGATGCAAAATGTTGCTTCAAGACTGGGTTGCATTGGCACCTGAACTAGTTATAGGAAGTGAAGTAGTCGAGCGTGTTGATCATCAGCGCTGATAGCCTGGTGACTGACGAAATCTCAGCACGGATACAGAAGGCTTGATTAGCTCTTGCCAATTTACGCCGTTTATGGCGTAGGCGAGATATCTGTTCGCTAACCAAAGGACGGGAGTACTGCTCAGCAGCTCGCTCCGTTCTTCTGTATGGATGCGAAACATGGCCGTTCGTAGGTTGCTAGTATTCGATCATAGATGTATTAGAAGCATTGCTCGTATATCGTGGGACAGCCGAGTAAGCAATGCTGTCGTTAGGAAACGAGTACTAGGTAAGGGTGGCAGATCAATAGATGAAGTAATGAAACTTCATCAGTTGAGGTGGTTGGGACGTGTTACATATGCCCAACAACCGACTGCCTTGTGGAGCTATGTTTTGTAGTGTAGGAGTAGGTTGGAAGAAAGTTAGGGGTGGCCAGACCAAAACATGGCTGAAATCCATGAAGTCACACAAGTGGATTGAGTCATGTTGGTAGATGTAGGCTACGTGGTTGGGGTCCGCGAGACGGAAGTCACCAATGGTTAGAGACCTTGAAAGAGAGGGCTCAAAATCGTTTTCAATGGCGCCAGTGCATCCATTTGTTGTGCTCTCTCAAATCCTAATCTTCTAGATTCGTCAGCACCTCTACCTTTGTCTTTTTAACCTTATCTCGCTGAATTATACTGCTTGAATATTGTCTTCAAACCATAGTCTTCTTCATTACCATTAATACCTCTACTATCTTTATCACTATGGGATTTGATTTGACATTTGCGTCTCTGTGCTAATGCGGTACGGCAACATGTACATACGTACGAAGTTCTACGTTGCAACCGACTCTCGACTCGACGAAAATCGTGGTTATTATCACAATTAGTTAATTTTAACCAACCGCATGTAGAAAATGATGAGCTATCGGTGTAACTCATTAAAACAAATCGCGAAGTAATTTGCTAATCAATAGTGACAAACGATTAGATAATAGATAACTCCGAGTATCCTTGTTGATGTGGACTAGACTTCTTGGACGTCTGTGTGGCGGCAAACGTCACCCATAATTCTCTAACAAAGTTTATACACATAACTTGGATCGTCTATTAGAAATTTAGTCTGCATACCTTAGAAGCACACATATTTTGTTTTTAGAGTCGTTTTCCCCTATGTTCTGCGTGGTTTAGACGGGATGCACTTTACGACAACAGGAGACAAAATTCCAAAACGTATGAAGGCTTCATGCTGAAACCACTTTATTATATCATTCAGAAAAAATTAAAAAAGGAAGATCTGAAAGTAATTATGTACAGTACTTTTGAAAGAAGTAATGTTTGAAATAAAATTTACAAAACCAAAATATTATGAAAATTAGTACTGAGCACGGGTCATCAGCTCTGCAAATGTAACAGGGAGCCAACCACCATCATTGGCGTTGTACACATAACTGACGTTGCGGTCGAAAAACACCTGCAGTGATTCTAGTCGATATACTTGTTGACCTTCAAACATCTTATTTGAAATAGGATGGAATAAGAAGCCACGTTGCGCTGCTACTTGTTCAACCTGTTTACGTAATGTTGTCGCGGGAGGAGCTACCAAAGGTGTTGATCCAAAAGTTGGCGGAAGTACACCCGATGAACCAGCAGGATACCTTGACACATCTGAATGATTTTGTTTTGATATTTCAGGTTCCTAAACAAAGAGCGAATTTCCAAAGGTAAGTTCCAAAGACAAAGTGAGCTAGAGTTTTTCATAACCCTATGAATAAGACAAAAGTTTTTTGTGTCTGGGCAAAGACTTGAATACCGGAAATGATTTCAGCACCATTACAACTCCTATTATTTGGTACTTTTCGAGACTGTTGGCAGTATAGTTTGGTAAAATAACCTAGCAGACAGTAATGCTTAATATCACGACATGAGAAAATCATAGAGTCTTATAGACTGTATTTCTCTACATAACTTCATAGTATTTTTTTGTTAAGTTACGTTCCCGTGGATTACACTTGACTGACTAATGCAATGCATATCAAAAAGTTATAAATCTGTCCGATTTATGCGCTTGCTCAGACTCGCCTCATGGTCGAAAAATTCGATGCGTAGTCATCACGGGTGTAACTGATATAGAATTGATTTAAAATTACATCAGGAGTGCGAGATCTACGATTGAGTCAAACGAACTAATTTACTTGAAAGTCTTTAGGACTGCTAATGACACCCTGATTCTACTCACACTCTAACCAAACTCTTGCCTCGTGAAGGCACATGGTCGAAATCGGGTAAACATATAATTAAAATGATTTTGTGGATAAATGAAGTGATCAACTTTTGAATCAGTCATCGAAAGTATTTAAATAGATACATTAACGAACTCGAACCCATAATAATAACTTACTTGAGGTGGCAAACCTCTCATGGACCGTTCCATCATCGCCAAAGCTTTTGTCAAGGCATCTTTGACACTTGCGTATTCCATACACTCAGGAGGCAGCTGACCCTTCCATCCAGCGTACCAACGTCCAACTTCTTGATAAACTTGACCGGCAGCCGTATGGTCTCCGCGTTGCCTAGCTTCTACTCCCTGATTTAGCCAGTTCGAAAGGACTGAAAGCCATCGTGACCAAAAATGATGTTCAAGTAGGTTTACAAGTACAGCCGGACCAATCAAGTCTGCCCAACGCATCACCCAGTTCCACGGATCCATGTTTTGCTTAGCAGGATTAAGCTAAATATCAAAAATTATTTTCTAAAAAGATACTTTACGGAAGCATTTGACAACAAGAAAGTTGTCATAGTTAAAGTTATGGGTTAGTACTTATGTAACAGATATGCTCTAGTGCGAGCAAATATATGTCTGCGACTTACTGGACAACAAAGAGACCTCTCAGAGTTACAATTAGTGGTCGAAAAGCCATGAATGAGCTCATGAGCAACTAAAAAACAGCTAATCAATCGTGCGAGAGATGTGCAACTCGAGACAGCTGTGGAAATCAGTGATATTTGCCAGCAAATTAAACCAAATAGGAAGAAATCAGTCGGTTTTAGTGGCATCTAGTGGACTGATACATGCTCCGAAACCCATCCCATGTGTCCAAACACGATAACGAGCACAGGCAACTTATGCAATGCCTGTTGAATAGCCTACGCAATAATCACGAACAGTGGTGGGCAGCGAAAGCAAAAGATATGGAAAAAGCATCGACGATAGGTAACAGTAGACAACTATCCAGGCTATTAGTGAGGCTATCAAAGGAAATTTACTGTCAGTTCAAGAGGTTGGATTGATGAGCAGAACACTTTAGGGAGTAAATCAACTGGCCTTCAGTTACTCACTCCCATCCAACTGGTCTCAATCGCTGATTGTCCCTGTCTATAAGGAAAAAAGTCCTCTTGTGAAAATAGAGGAATCAGTTTAACTAGTGTAGTGTTTAGAACGTTAGTCTCTATAATACTTCGACGTCTAACTAGAGCTCGTGAAGAGCAGACCTGAGAAAACCAGACTGGTTCCCAACCTGGATGTGACTGTATAGACCACACATTCATACTTCGTCATATCCTAGAACATAGACACACATTTGGACGTCCGACAATATTTGTATTCCTTGACCTTAAGGCGAAATTTGTCTCTGCCAATCGTGAGGTTCTGTGGCAGTATCTGACACTGAAAAGAGTACCGAAGAAATACATTAAACGTTTACAGGCTCTCTACTCGAACACCTATGGTCGAGTCAGAGCGTATGACGAACTGTCATCGGGACTGACTAATTTAGGTCGTGTTCATCAGGGTTGTTCACTTTCCCCATTCTTAGCCAACTTTGTCATGGACATGCTTTTAGGGACAACACTTTCATCTTCTGACTTTTCAGGAGATGACATAGTTCTATTTGGTGAAGATGCTAACAAAATGCAGTCTTCTAACCACCTTGAGCAACAATGCGAGCATGTTCGGGATGAGATTCTCTCCCTGGAAATGCAAAATGTTGCTGTTGCCAGCACCAGGATATGTGATAGGGAGTGGAGTAGCTCAGTCTGTCGACCGCTAAACTTATCATAGGAGTGTCATCAAGCCCGTTAGCAGTGTCTTGGCATGGATATAGAATGCTTGATTGGCTTTTGTCAACTCGCATCACTAATAGCATAGGCGGGATATCCGTCTACTAATCAAAGGAATAGTTTAATACTAAGCAATTCTCTATGTACTATCCTATAGGTATGAAACATGACTAGTAAGGATAGAGGACATTTTTAGGTTTCTGGTATCCGATCATATGTGTCTTTGAATCATCGCCTCTATACCCTGGGACCATTGAGTAAGTATTGCTAGGGTTAAGAAAAGAGTACTGAGTAATGATGACAAACCAATTGATGAAGTAGTGAATCTTCATCAGTTGAGGTGGTTGGAGCATGTGTTACGAATGTCCAACCACCGATTGCCTCGACGAGAGATGTTGTCTGATGCAGGAGTAGGTTTAAAGAAATCTAGGGGTGGTCAAATTAAAACATAGGAGCAGTCCATGACGTCAGTGACAACTAGACTGAACCATGTTAGTAGATGCAGACTACCTGGTTGGGGTCAGTGAGGCAATTGTAACGTTGTTAGATGCTTTGAATAGCATGGCTTAGAATTGATCGCAATGGCCCAGATGCATCCATTCTTTGTCTACTCACAAATTCTAATCTTCGGAATTTTTCAAGACTTTTTACCTCTTCTGAATTTACTTCACTGAGATATACTTCCCAAATCCTATCTTCTATCCCTAATCTTTTCCATTATCGTAAACACTGTTACTACCTCTACCACTGTGGGGTTTGGATTGGCGATTCTATCTCCTTGTGCTAACGTGGTATGCCCGCTGGAACTAAGGTGTATGTATGTATCAAATTCTACGTAGTAACAGAAATGATAAAAATGTGAATAAGAAAAGTAATGTTGGTTATTTTTAAAGCTCTATCGTTTAGTCAACTAAATCGTTTTTAGTGTTTTCGAAACATGTAGAGAACTAAATCTTGTCGTGATATGAACGTACTAAACTTCTGGATACTTGCCAGATTGCATCCACTATTTGCAGCTTAAGATGCGCAATACTCAAATTGCTGAGCGTCCGGAATATTTCGTTCAGGTAGTCGACATTTGATTATCATAGCCTTATCTTTAGTTACGTATTAATTAAATTTTTAAAACGGATGTCTAGCGATGCATATAATTGGTTTCTAAGAGTTTTATTTAATGTTTAAAATATGATAGAGTTGAACAGCAGAAATCCGTGCGCCAAACAAGTGAAACGATAACTTCATGAACAAATTAAGGAGGGAATGGTAGTACAGTCATAGGAAGTGAACAAGAATACCACATAGTTTTAGATATAATTCAGTTAGAAATACAAGTAAGAGGCTTTCTTAGAGGGGAGTCCCTATTTTACTATTATTCTGAATATCTTCCACATATCCGTTGATCGAAATTCGCAAGTAAGAGCGTTCGTTCAGATTCTGACTAAGATTCATGTAGACTACATAAAATACGATAATAAACAAAAAATATTAAACTGAAGGACAACCATCTTGAAAGCTGGTAATAGATTCTTTGCACTACTTAAGAAGTGTGAACAGTGTAGTCATGATATTACTTACAACAAAATGCGTATATATAATACTGCCCCATCGAGTTTAGTCGCAGTCAATTAGAAAAGGAGGAATTTTGTGAATATATTGATCGGTTAACAGATGATATTTAGCGGTTAAATTAAAAAGCTCATTAAAACCAAACCATAGAACATGCAAAACTCAAAGCTAACTTGAAACTGTTGTAGCGCTAAAGCCAACTTCGGTACCACATGGCGACTCAGAAAAGCTGACATAGACGCGACCGGGAAAATGGTTCGCCAAGGCATCAGGACTGAGCGAGCAGATGCGTCACTAGGATGCCAGTTAGTAAGACAATTCCCTAACTTCTGAAGAACCATATCATGTAAACATGAGAGGCGTTCAACTCCTCCAAACCAAGGCAGCCACGGATGCAACCAAATATGAACAGGTACTGTATCGGTTAACGGATTCCACGAAGAAACAGCATCCTAAAAATTGGACGTTTTTAAAAATGGCAAAGTAAGAAAAACTTACAAAAACATACGAAAAGTTAGTGAACGACATAGTTACTTTATCACCATTTGCCATTCGAGCGGTTAAATAATTACTACATTTGATACAAGAGTACACTCAGAATTTACCTCATCTGTGAATCGGAGAGGCACTAATATAGGAAGTTTCGCGCTAGCAAATTAAGTTGCAGAATTTCGAACTAGGTCAACGAAAAAGCTAATGAACATATTCTTATGCATTTTTGCAGAAAAAGATGAAAACCAGTGACTATAGATCTTGGAGTTGGTAAAACACTAGTAGTAATGAATACGCTTCTAATAATATATCTAATCTTCTAATCCCATTATGACGAATTTCATTCTACATCTTACTTCCACTTTTAAAACATCTCTATTTACATCATTAATGACTTGAAGTTTAAATTGGTAAACTACATAAACTAAATAAAAGGTAGTTAAACTGAAATGAAAACAATCGTTATTAGACAAAAGTGAATGAAGGTCAAGACGAACTGAGCATGTGGAATCTCCATTTAAAGCTACATCAAGTCTTACTTCATGGGATCGTGATATGTTATAACTGTAGTGGTGTGACAACTTGTGCTTATGCATATATACTAGTTTCCACATTGGTTATTACTAATAAGACAAAGTATATCAATGAAATAATATCCACAGTCGAAAAATGGTCTTTAAATATATTTTAGGTTATGAACATGAATTTCACTAAAAATCAAGTCCACTAACTAAAATTATTACTTCTAGCAATAACAATCATCAAATAATGTCAATGAACAATACTGAAGAAGATATATGTAATAACTCTAAGTTCAACGAACCTGTAATTTTGGAAGAACCAGTTGGTCAAGTATTTTGTGCTGCAACATATCACCTGGTAATAGGGGCTGCCAGGCTTCAAGAACCTCCAGAAGAGGTTCACAGTCTCGAGGATTCCACTCATTAACAATAGTGCGGCGTATAGCGCTTAGCCAGCTTGTTTCGAGTATGACATCAAATGCACAAGAATTTTGGAGGAAATCCCTCCAATGTTTTAGCAAATCGAGGCAGAATGTGGGTTCCTAAAATGAGTAGGTTAAAAGACTTAGTAACAACGAGCAACTAGTCATATCCACACTATGAACCAAAAACTTTGAGAAAATTAAACCGTAGAACAGATAAGGCTATTCTTTAAATATTGATTTGTAGTGAAGTTTGATGTAGTCGATGTGATTCATATGTTGTTGAACTTTGTTTGATAGACATTAAAGGACAAATATTATCGACATAGAGCGTGGGACTAGCATATTTCGGGATCACGTCATACGGACCTGTCCTTCCTAGTGTTAAATTGCTTATAGCCTTGCGAACCTCATTAGGAGTTAGGAAACGCGTTATTCTGCCAGTTTGACTGGGGCAAAAGGTAACTGAAAAGTAAGTGGGGGTCAATGAAACTGTTCCGTGAAATATTCTGCTCTTCCGCCTAATTTCCTAAAATCATAGTGGATAATGGTGTTTTCCGTGATCGGTTGATAGAGTTATCTAGTGCTACCTATCGTCGCTGCCTTTTCTATCTGTTTTACTTTCGTTGCCCATCACTGTTTACAATCGTTGCGGAAACTTTTTAGTTTGCGTTTGAGTTGTCATAGCTTGTCACTGTCCTCTGAGCTTGTCAAGATGAGTATTCAGGCTTTTATTAATTTAGAGGGTGCTATTAAAACCTGCCGGTTTTTCCTAACATTTTGATCTAAGTCTGATAGACGTCACTGCTGTATTTACAGCTGACTGGATAATCCTTGCAAACCACTTTAGACTGAACTGTTTCTCTACCATCGACTAGATGGTTAGCTAATTTTTTCTTGAGAGGATCCTTGACCTCCTCATCTTCGAACTGCTATCAAGAGGATCTTGTTGCAGTGGTTTACGCCCAGTACCATGCACAGAAAAACGTGCTCTTATGAGAGAATGCCTGAAGCTCACATATGTACTCCAGTACGAGTGACAGCCTTCCACCGAGCTTCACTAAGATTGGCTGGTGGCGACATGACTTATTTACGTCTGTTCGTGTAGTGATGTCGACGTTCTTTAGGTTAGACAGTGTTGTTGTTTATACTTACAGTTCATACCTGCTAGCAATAATCGATTGTCTTAAGAAAATTACAGCAGGTGATCATTGTTATGGAATTGTCCAGCTAGGGTTTTTCGGTTTCATTTGGTCTATAGGCCTGAGCGTTAAAAATCTCCTGCAACGACTACTACTTTTGAACTTCTGGCTTTCTGGAAGAGGTTGTGAACTTTCCTATGAAACTTGTGTTTTGCTCCGTTTGACTGCAATCAGCGAAGGTACTGGCAGAAACAATATTTCTGAGTTCTTACTTTGGCACTGAGACAGTCAAGAAGTCTCTATACGGCTTTCAGATTTAATGCTACGCCTAGGCCGGCCAGACCATAAGAAATTATCGCTGCATCTCTACACACCTGAAAGGTATATCCGGACTGGCTCTCCGCGCCGACTAGGTAGCATCAAGTAGAAGACCATTTTAGGGACCTGTACGTGTGCTTTGGAGGCAGCATACATTGACGGTATCAGATTCTACAGTCTTAACTAGGAATTCTCGTTGTCCGATTCGACACAGGGTCCGGACATTGGAAGTTACCATATGTGGTTTGTAACGCGGTTCTCAATGAATTATACTTCTTGAATAATATCTTCGAACCCTAGTCTTCCTCATTACCATTAATACCTCTACTATCTTTATCACTATGGGATTTGATTTGGCATTTGCGTCTGTGCTAATGTCGTATGGCAACCTGAACTTATGTACATACGTACGAAGTTCTACGTTGCAACTGGCAGACTGAACGCGGCTTCAAGGGACTTGGGATGCCATTCTGTGGACTATAACCGTGAGCATTGGTGGTACATATTGGGACAGTCGAAGATATATGAAAATTGCCAGTGGGAGTAAAAGTAGTATTTAGTAATGAAAGTGAGGCCTGATTATAAACGAGGTGACGTCGTATGCCGTTAGAAGTGTGAGAGCAGTTGTCACTTCCGACTGTCTACATCGTGGAAGGAATTTCCTTCTTGAGAAACCTGAAAAGCAAACTGGACCGATAGTGATCTTAGCAACCTCAGAATGTGGCAGCAAAATCCGAGGTACAACTATATTAGTTTGGTCACAATGCCTTTTTGTGGCAAGTTTTTGATGGGTTAGATCCATTCTTGCCAAGACCTTACTGCTGGAGACAGAAATCCATGGGGTATGGTGATTTGTGACATTTTTAGGGTTAACCTTAACTAAATTCCTTTTTCTCTTGTGTTAATTGCCTGAGGGGAGCACTTCGTTATCGTAACATCTGTATAGTCAGAAGTAATACTTCGTCCTTGGATCTTCAGTTGCTGTTTTAGGTCTTACTGTTACCCCGAACAACCTGTTTGGTATAGTGGGAGCCAAAGGAACAAGTTTTCCAGCCAATATACTACGATTGTGTCACAAAGGTTGTCAAGCATGATTTACAGTTAGCATAAAACGAAAAATTTAATTTAAGCCATATCTGTGACAGATCGATTTTATTTTTTAGTCTAATATGATTATTTGCAGAACTTTTAGTAGTTTTATTGTCAAAGACACTGTTCAATAATCAAAATGCCATATGCTTCCAAAATTTCAGTAAACTTGAACACAATAAAATAATTAATCTTTATCATGATATACTAGTTTGTATATATCACACCAAAAAAATTAAAGGAGATTAATAACAAGGAGATTATAATGACATTGATAAACTGTGATAAAAAGTTAATCAAAAATAAAAATTATGAAATAATATGATTAACTAGGTTTATGTACAGGTGGATGTAATGAATGATCCACGTCTTCATATCATTACACTTTAACTTTTCCGAATTCACTCTTTCATTTCATCTTATCTTACTTGATATTCCATAGTAAGTAATGATTGGTAAACTAATTCAACTCATTAAGCACAGGTTTATTTACACCGTTATGAGCCACGATTTGTGTGAGATCTAGTAAAACTGCTTATTTGTCCATATTGAATTGCATATGCCCTAACAATACCTTTTTAACTCCGCCAGTAGCCCTCATGTTAATGTCAGTCCCAAACTCGGACAAAACAGAAAGGTTAAGCATAAGACTAACAATCTCATCTCGGAAAAATAAACTATAATCAAGAAAATCATTTCAATTCGGGCCTGGAATTTGAAGGGTCTTTATTTACAAGAGTTATGACGACCCATGGTGAAAGCCGAGTTTTTGCGGAAACTAAGTTGACGCCCCTTCTAACAACCAGAGCAGCGAAAATAAGTATGTGAAATGTCCGCACAATGTGGAAGGCCGAAAAGACAATTTAAGTTGTTGCAGAAATTAAAAGATACAACCTGAATCTGCATAGAACAAGAGAAACCCATTGGACACAAGCTATACAGAATTGATAAGCTTTTGGCAAAACGCTGTTGTATTCACTCATATACACATAAGGAGTGGCACTAATATTGTCCAACGAAGCCAAAACACACACACCAGCAGCAACAATCTACTGTGGGAGAGAACAAACTAGATTCCATCTGGGGAAGAAATTAAGAGGAGACACGAGATGAATAGGACACTAGAAATCATCGAAGTGCGCCACAAGGTAAGCATTAAAAGAATGAACAGCACGTAGAACTCTGAGCAATGCTTTTGAAAAACAACCGAATACTTGAAACCCATAAACTTCCTCTGCCTTTGAAGAACAATTTTCATGCGTCCTGTGATATGAGAGAACAGTGCTGAGCATGTTTGGACCCCACATACCACTTTGTTCAAGAGAACCAGATAGTATCACTGCGTATTATACAGAGAACAAGGATAGGTGCTTCTTGGATTTACTTTGCTTTCTGAGATCAAAAGACCAAACGACTTCGAAACCCTTATCTTTAGCTACAAATATTATTCACCACTTCAAAACCTAAACTTGACTTATGAGTTACGGCAGAAATTTATATCACCCTTCTAGTTAGAAGCTAAATAGGTCTATATTTGACCAATGAATGCTCAAACTTTCAGTAAACCGTAACAAGCGATTCGATCGCAAAAAGCCAACTGGAGCACTACTGGTGTATATACTAAGAAAACGATTTAGAATATTTGAGGGACAAATAGATTTAGCAGGAAAGAACAGGCTGTATATAAATCATAAGTTGTGTAATGAGCCTTACTGGTTAAAGTTTGATTCAAACCGTACATAAACATATTACTGTCTTATCAAAGTAAAAACTAGTGAAAATGAATTAATAAGATCTTCTTAGTAAAGTGTTGCAGCAATAACAATAGAAAGAATAATGAAAACATATCACTTACCTTAAGAGGATTCCATTTAGCAAGTGAATTATCTAACATTGGGCGAGCGATCGACGCCATAAGAACAGGCATTTCTACTAAATCAGCACATTCCTCACGTATAAGTGATACCCAAGACGAAATGGCTTCCGAAGTTAAGTTTGTATCAGAGCCTGAATGAAATGCGACTTCATCCTCAAACTTCTTTATCAGAATTAAAGCTTTCTCGAGTTGATTTACTTCAGATTGTTCTTCTTTAACTATCTAAAAGTTTATGAAAAGAACAAAATTCATAATAGAAAATATCAACAACATGCCTAAATTATTATTCCGTCAGATGTAGTCAAGACCATCTACACAAGGATATGATTACAAACAAACTTCGAAAATGCCACGATTCGATAAACCTTGCTGAGTGTTTTGTAATGATTTTCATATTTCATAAAGAGAAACCAATGAATGCCTTGAAACTGAACGAAAGTCTTGAGCGTATCGTACTTGACTGTTGATTAACTGGATTACATAAGCTGTGTACGGTTACTTACTCTCACACTGAGAAAAATGCTGTTTAGTGAATCTACTCTATGGCTGTGGATCATACAATGTGAAAGTAGAAGACAAGCGCAGGTTGCAAATTTCCGATTATCAGTGTCTACAAAGCGTTGCTTCCCTATTGCAGGACAACAAAGTGAATAGTGCTGACGTTGATAGCCACAGAAATGGCTATTCACACGATGCGGTTTTAGATACTCATCAGCTAAGATGGCAGGTACATATGTTGCATAAGCTACATTAATGTGTAATCCTAACCAGCGAAGGATGTCAGTCAGTCAGATTCAACGTAGAACTTCGTACGTAAGTACATCAGTTCATGTTGCCATACCACATCAGCACAGAGATATAATTGTCAATTCAAATCCAATAGCAGTAGAGGTAGTAAAGGTAATTGAAGTAATCGGAGAGGTTAGGATTAGAAGATATTATTCAAGAAGTATGATTCAGTGAGATAAGTTTAGAAAGACAAAACTAGAGTTGTTCAAGAATCCAGAAGATTAGGATTTGAGAGAGCACAACGAATGGATGCACCGGCGCCATTGCAAATATTTGAGTTCGTCTATAAAAAGCTGATGGATAAGCAAGTCAAATTCCTTCAGTTCGGTAGACTTCACCTCCAGAACTAGTTTCACAAAGCCACGTTGAGTAAAGACTATTAGATAACTTTGAATGACAAATCATACAAAATCTAGCTATTAGGATTTTTTTGTGTATATTTTTGTCAACAAGTAAATTATCTAGTATTTTGACACTCACTTTTCTTAATTAATCCTAGAAATCACTAATATGTTAATAATCAGTCTATAATGATGCTTTTTGAGATTTTATTTATGGTTTTCCAACGCTCGGGATAAATACCGGTTTTCAGAGAAATAGTAGTAGTGGTTGGATATCTGGCCCTTCATATTTATAATAAGTGGATCCGAACCCATCTACTCCTTTACTTCTTAAAACGTTAATGGAATTTATCATTTAGCCGATTTGGAAATAACTAAAAAACGAACTTCTTGGAGTTTTCTATGAAATGTATTGTTTCCGACTTGCTGTGATCGCATTTCCATCACTGAAGAGGTTAATGATGGTTTTAAAATCATCTGTAACTTTTAACCCATTTGGTTTTATAATCTGGCTTAAAATGATAACTCATTTAGCTGTAGAACTAAAGTAACTGACCTGCAAAGTTCTTAATTTATTACAATATTTAACCTGTATAAATAGACAAAAAAATTGCTTCCTCTCTACTGAATATTCTTCATATTTATTCACGTGACTTTATAGCTTCTGGTTTCATTATTAAATCTTTTTTCATTAATATTTAATCGATTTCCCTGTATTCGTATCTGTGTAATAAAAGTTGATCTGATTCTTTAATTGCTAAATAAATATCAGAGCACATCAATCAATAGTTGAGATATAAGATAACCGGGATAAAAGTCGCAAAATATGCTTATTCTGAATTTCAAAATTTAATACAGTTAGTCAGTCAGTCAGTTACAACGTAGAACTTCGTACGTAAGTACATCAGTTCGTGTTGCCATACCACATTAACACAGAGACGCAATTGTCGATTCAAATCCCATAGTAGTAGAGGTAGTAAAAGTATTAGAAGTAATAGGAGAGATTAGGGTTCAAATATGTTATTCAAGAAGTATGATTAAGTGAGGTAAATTTAGAAACAGAAAGATACAGGTAATGATAAATCCAGAAGATTAGGATTTGAGTGAACACAAAGAGTGGATGCACCTGCGCCATTCCAAACAATTTTGAGCCATGTCATTCAAGGTCTCTAACCATCGATTATTATCATCTCGCGGACCCCGACCAGGTAGTCAACATCTACCGACATGTCTCAGTCCACTTGTCAGTGACTTCATGGATTTCTGCCATGTTTTGGTTTGGCCGCACCTAACTTTCTTCCAACCTACTCCTACACTACAAAACAAAGCTCGTCGAGGCAGTCGTTGGTTAGGCATACGCAACACATGTCCCAACCACCTCAACTGGTGAAGTTTCAATACTTCATCGATTGATCTGCCATTCTTACCTAGCACCCGATTCCTAATAACAGCGTTGCTCACTCGGGTGTCCCACGATATACGAGCAATGCTTCGAAGACACCTATGATCGAAAACCAGTAACCTACGAATATCTCCTTGTTAGTGGGACATAGATGGAATCAAAGCACGACTACGTTGCTGCGCGCTGATTAGCTGAATTCCTATCCAATCAGCGCCTGATCGAAGCTTGGAGAACAGGATAGAAAATTCTCGCATTATTAGCTGCATGCTGATTGGTCAAATCCAATCCAGTCGATCACGTGAATTTTCTTCCAGAAGCTTTCTCATGTAAAGGCTATAAATAGACTGGCGTTGTATTTATTTTTGCCTTCTTGCTTTCTTTGCCTTGGCTTTCGCCATCACCTCCGGCTTCTTATTCCTTGCTATTTTAGAATATAATCTTTCCTGTTCAAACCGTGTTTTAACTTGGGGGACTTTTCCAGTGTTTTGTGTCAAAGAATACTAAGCAATAAGATTCTAAGTCAATAAGCGAGCCACTTGGTAGAAGGTCTACTCCTGAAAATTCAGACGAGGATAAGGTTATTTCTAGGGGCATGTCTATGATAAAATTAAACAAGAATGGAGAAAGTGGACATCCCTGACGCACACCACTTAAAGTAGAGAATTCCGGTGACAGTTCGCCATAAGTTCTCACTCGACCAGTGGTGTTTGAGTAGAGAGCTTGTATAAGGTTAATGTACTTATTTGGTACACCTTTCAATGACAGACACTGCCACAGAACCTCATGATCCACAGAGTCAAATGCCGCCTTAAGGTCTAGGAAAACAACTATTGTAGGACGCCTAAATGTGTGTCTATGTTCCAGGACCTGTCTGAGTGTGAAGACGTGGTCTATACAGCCACGTCCAGGTCGAGAACCAGCCTGGTTTTCTCGAGTCTGCTCTTCACGAGCTTTCGTTCAGCGTCGAAGTATTACTGAGGCCAATATTTTAGATACTATATTAGTTAGACTTATTCCCCTGTGATTGTCACAAGAAGACTTCCGTCCTTTCTTATAAATTGGGACAATCAGTGATTGGGACCAGTCGGATGGGATTACGTCCAGTTCCCAGATTCTACCTAAGTTTACAGAAACATTTTAAACCTTCAAAACATTAAGCGCTCTGATATAGTAATAGTGGCTGGTAACTTCAATGCTCAAGTAGGTAGACTCAGTGAAAAGGAAAGACACCTGAGAGGATCTTATGGTGTCGCAGCTGCTCAAACATATAGTGGCGACCAACTGCTGCAGCTATGCTCAAATAACCGCTTATTTAAAGCAACTACTAACTTTATGTATAATGAAAAACATCTTTTAACATGGCGACCCCTGAAGTTGCCCCAACGATGGACGCAACTAGATCACATTGCTACCAGCCACCGAAGGAGAGGTCTCAATGGTGACAGCCGCTCATACTGGAGCTCTTTTTTAGATTCAGATCATGCTCTAGTAGTTACTTCAAGTGGTGTCCGTCAGGGATGTCCACTTTCACCAGAGAAGCACATTAACCTTATACAGGCTCTCTACTCGGACACTACTGGTCGAGTGAAAGCTTATGACGAACTTTCATCGGAATTCATTACTTATAGTGGTGTCCGTCAGTGCTGTGCTTTCTCTCCATTCTTGTTTAACTTTGTCGTAGACATACCTTTAGAGATAACGTCATCTTCATGTGGCTTTTCAGGAGTGGACCTTCTACCAGGAGATTCACTGATTGACTTAGAATATGCCGACGTCATATTTCTACGTGGTGAAGTCGCTGACAAAATGCAGTCTTCTGACCAACCTAAGCAACAATGCAAGCATGTTCGGGATGCGATTCTCACTGTCCAAATGGAAAGTGTTACTTCAGGATCAGCTTGTATTGGTACCTGATTTAGTGATAGGGAGTGAAGTGGTTGATCGTGTCGACCGTTCCACTTATCTGGGGAGTCTCATCAGTGCAGATGGCCTGGTGTCTCAGGAAATCTCAGCACGGATATAGAAGGCTCGATCGACTTTTGCCAACCTGCGTCGTTAATCGCGTAGGCGAGATATCCGTTCGGTGACCGAATGATGAGTTTACTTCTCAGTAGTTCTCCTCATCCTACTTGATGGCTATGAAACATGGCCTGTTAGAGTAGAGAATATTCGTAGGTTGCTAGTTTTCGATCATAGGTGTCTCCGAAGCATTGCTCATTTATTTTGCGGCTGTCGAGTAAGTAATTCTCTTGTTAGGAAACAGGTGCTAGGTAAGGATGGCAGATCAATAGATAAACTATTGAAACTTCATGAGTTGAGGTGGTTGGGAGATGAGCTACGTATGCGTAACCACCGACTACCTCGACGATCCATGTTTTGTGATGTAGGGGTAGGCAGAAAGGAAACTAGTGGCGACCAAATCAAAATATATGCACGGACTGAGCCATGTTAGGTGTAGACTACCAGGTTTGGATCAGCGATATGATAGTAATCGATGGTTATAGAGCGATAATGACATAGCTCAAAATCGTTTGCAAGGGCGCAGGCGCATCCACTGGTTGTGTTCTCTCGAATCCTAAACTTCTTAATTTCTCATCACCTCTATCTTTCTCCTTCGAAAGTTATCTCATTGATTTATACTTCTTGAATATCTTCGAATCCTAATCTCTCCAATTACTGTTATGTTTCACCTATGTCCGCCCACTAACTACTAAGATAGTTGATATTTTGTGGAGTAAGAGTTGGTTGGAAGAAAACTAGTGGCATCCAAACCTGAACATGACACCTCTCCGTTAAGTCACTGATAACTGAACTGAAGCATGTTGAGCATCTATCACTTCAGTAAATATCACCAAAATCCACTGATTCTCCTTGAACACTCCTACTCTCACTGGCCATGTTTCACAGCCATATAGGAGAACGGAGCGAACCACTGCGCAGTACACTCGTCCTTTAGTCAGCAAACGGATATCTCGCCTACGCCATAAGTGACGCAGGTTGGCAAAAGCCAATCGAGCCTTCTGTATCCGTGCTAAGATTTCGCCCGTCACCAGACCATCAGCACTGATGAGACTCTCAAGATAAGTGAAGCGGTCTACACGCTCGACTACTTCACTCCCTATCACTAGTTCAGGTGCCAATGCAACCCAATCTAGAAGCAACATTTTGCATTTCGAACGGAAAAACCGCATGCCGAACATGCTTGCATTGTTGCTTAGGGTAGTCAGAAGACTCTGCATTTTGTCAGCGTCTTCACCAAGTAGGACAATGTCATCGGCATATTCTAAGTCAATAAGCGAGCCACCTGGTAAAAGGTCTACCCCTGGAAATTCAGACGAGGATAAGGTTATATCTCGGAGCATGTCTATGATAAAATTAAACAAGAATAGAGAGAGTGGACATCCCTGACGCACACCACTTGAAGTAAAGAATTTCGTTGACAGTTCGCCATAAGCCCTCACTCGACCAGTGGTGTTCGAGTAAAGAGCTTGTATAAGGTTAATGTACTTATTTGGTACACCTTTCAATGACAGACACTGCCACAGAACCTCACGATCCACTGAGTCAAATGCCACTTTTAGGTTCACGAAGACAACTATTTTCGGATGCCTAAATGTGTGTCTGTGTTCCAGGACCTGTCGTAGTGTGAAGATGTGGTCTATACAGCCACGTCCAGGTCGAAAACCAGCCTGGTTTTCTCTAGTCTGCTCTTCACGAGCACTAGTAAGGCGTCTAAGTATAATGGAGCATAACAATTTAGAAACTATATTAGTTAGACTTATTCCCCTGTGATTGTCACAAGAGGACTTTTATCCTTTCGTGTAGATTGGGACAATTAGCGACTGTCAGTCAGATGGGATTACGTCCAGTTCCCAGATTCTACCTAAGATCTCAGCCAACCTAGCTGCTAAAACTGGACCATCGTCCTTAAATATCTCAGAGGTCAGTCTATCAGGAGCTGCAGCTCGTCCTCCCTTTAGATTTCCTAACGCTTTCTCAACTTCATGTAGACTAGGAGGACTTACTTCGATTTGCCGTTCAGGATGACTGGGGATCGTGGGCAACCGAAGTGCGGCTGAAGACCAGTTGGACTGGTTCCTAAAGAGTTCTGCCCATCGGTCCAATCTCCTCGATTGAGAATAAATGATACAGCCATACTTTTCTGAGATAGTCTCACTCACATTTGGGTTCCTAATACCAGTTTCCTTGATGAATCTAAATAGTTGCCTACTGTTGCCTATCGCCGCTGCCTTTTCCATCTCTCTCGCTTTCTCCACCCACCACTGTTCTCGATCGTTGAGTAGGCTTCTTGTCAGCTTACGTGTAAGCTGACTCCGCTCCTCATCGCACTCAGAGCCAGGCGGGATGAGTTTTCGAGCATCCATCAGTTCGGTGGATGCGACTGAAATCCACGGATTCATCCTAGCCTTATGGTTTACCTTACTAGCAAATATCACTGCCGTTTCCACAGCCTTTTTGATATCATACCAACCTGCTTCCGGGTGGGAATCGCTTGCATGGTTGCTTAACTCTCTTTCTAGTTGTTCCTGAAATATATTCCTAGCTTTATTATCATTAAGTAAAACCCTAAGAGGTTTCCTTACGGTGTCTTTCCTACGTCCAGTAAGCCTCAAACAGATGCGCGCTCGCACTAGGGCATGATCTGAATCTAAACATGTGCCCCACAACGAGCGGCAGTCCTCTATCGAACCCCCCTATCGGTGGCTGATGGCAATGTGATCTAGTTACGTCCAACTTTGAGGGTCGCCAGGTCAAAAGATGTTTCTCCTTATGCCTAAAGTTAGTGTTCGCTAGGAATAGGCGGTTATCTGAGCACAGCTGCAACAGACGGTCGCCATCGTCTGTTCTTTGAGCCGCGACACAATAACATCCACCTAGGTGTCTTTCATTTTCACTTAGTCTACCTACTTGAGCATTAAAGTCACCAGCCATTATTACTATATCAGAGCGCTTAACATTTTGGAGGTCCGAAAGCTTTCTGTAAAACTCATCTTTTACATCGTCTGAACTGCAGTCAGTGGGGGCATATGCTGATATGACGAAGAGGCAACGACGAGTGTCCCTATCCTTTCGAATCCTTACTGTCCCGTTTAGTCGGACGGCGCACAAGTGACTATCTACAGGGATCCATTCAAGGAGAGATAGTTCTGTCCTACGACTCAATACTATACCTACACTAGCGAGACCCCTGGAAGCTGCATCAGGGCTTCCAGATACACGAAGAGTAAATCGAGCTGCTTCTTTATTTTGACAAGGTGAAATCAGATTATTAATTTTACTCGGATCCTGTATGCGCGTTTCCGAGACGCAGCGTACATCGATGGCACGAGATTCTAAAGTCCTAGCTAAGGAAGCCTGTTGCTCTATTTGACACAATGTCCGTACATTAAAAGTTCCAACATGTAGTCTAGAACGGGGTTTCAAGAGACAAGGAAGGACGTTTCGTTTGCATTAGTGAAGGATGAGGATAGAAGATAATTGGAGATGATCAAGATAAGATGTCACATCAGCCCTTAAAGTCATTTACAACTGGTATATGCCATTTTATTCGGTCACAGTGGCCTAAAAGCACTAAATCTTTGTCTTCCCCTAGATTCTAAGCGTCGACAATCTTCCATAGATAGTTCTTTATACACCATATTCTTATGGCTTAATCATTTTTAGTATAAATGATACCATTATCTCGACCATCTTGCTATTCATTTTGTTAATCTCATTTCATTGGAGCGATATAGCAGTTTGGAATGGTCCATGCTTGTTCTGACCTCTACACTCATTAACTGATTAAATGAAGTGCAGCATGTCTCAGATGATTATAGTTAGTAGTAAAATGCTACATTATGTATTCAAGCCATATGCTAGCCATCATACTAAGAAAGTTATCGTAACTCAGTCAAAAACGTTTACATCCAGATTTATTGGCAGTTTCACCAAGAGTGAAAATGTCGCACTTTTTGTTGAGAAAACGAAAGGCTTAACAAACCTCAGTTAATTTTTCGATTTCATGTTCCAAACCAACTGCGCGATCTTCCTCAAATCTAGCATCTCGATCAAATCTCCTGATTTCATCCTCAGTAGATCTCATTATCAAAGCGAAATTGTGTCGCAAAGCAGGACAATCAAAAAAATTTCCTTCCAACCTTTTTTCAATCCGTTTACCATCAACATCTGGACCTTCTTCGTCCGACAGAGTAAGATTATCTCCCGGTTTTCGGCGCCTTTGAACAACACGAGATAAAGCAGCCTCATAACCAGAATATACCTTTTGCTCTTTACTTGTCATATCGATGACCTTTACTTTAGACAATTCACTAAACAGACAAAACACAATAAACAGATAAAACAATAAAGGCCATCTATTGGAAAACTGACGATCTTAGAACTAGCAGTAGACTGAAGTATCACTATATTAAGTTAAAAGTTTTATTGACTGTTTGAAAATATTCGCATAGTATGAATTTACATACTTGGATTTGAACTATAACTCTGTGTACATTTGATGGTACTACTAGCCCAACCATACTGACATAGATTTCTAGACCACGGCCCAGCTATCAAAAGCTAACTTTTTTAATCGCTAGGACATCGATCCTTTAACTTACACACTTAAATAAGAAAAATACCGTTATCCTAGGCCATCAGTGGAATCAACTTATTGTTAGAAATTCTTATGCGGCAAAGCAAATAGCTTAGTCATAAAAGCTCATCACTAATAAAGAGAATCATATACTCCGACTGTTAAATCCTATCTGAGTAGAAATGTATGTGAGTTGGCAACAATATAATATGTCGGGCTAACCGATTGCCCAAAATAAAGTAGGTGAGGATTTAAAACTCGCGATTTGGTTGTGAAGAATTGAGAGCTTTAACCACTAAACAACTTCTGACCTACCTTCAAATTTAACAGTTTGTTGTAAAGGAATTTCTGAAATGCTTTAATCTATACTCCCGCTAAACACAAATAAACAACTTTGAAATCATACTTACCTGTTCTCCAGGAAAATCCCATGTCGCCTAATAGCTGTAGCAGGAGTTGCAGGACAAAGATTTGCAACTAATTCCTCAGTAGTTTTATACTCCTGTATAGGCTTCGGTATTTGGTTGCGTTGCAGCCCAGGTCTTTTTTTGTAACGTGGTCCGACTAGGCGAAATGAATAAAAAATTATGTACGCATTGTTTTATGACGTTCAAAAGCCTTATTTCCTTATATTTTTTAAAACATTTTTTGACTGATTGATATTATGAAAGCTTAAGGTGATTCTTTTGTTGCATACACTGTGTTTTATAGGTGTGTGAATGATGATATCCTGTTAACTGTCTTGAAGTGTGACAGAGGTAAAGTTGAATATATTTAGCCCTAATTTTTGTCATTATCACAATTGCCGGAAATCATAACGTATCACTAAAACTCACTTGTAGTGTATTTAGTATACATCTGATGAGTAAATACAATAATTCATGGTAGAAATACGCATCTATCTAATGACAATTAAATTGACTAAAATAACGAAACGAAAAGCCGATTGATTCCTGAAGTCGTAGATTTAGATTTTCGTTGTATCATTGTATTTCAATAGTCATGCAGTACATACTCTATCGACGATTTTATTTCACTGTATATCTTCGTATATAATATAGTGTTTTCTTATTAAAAAATTGACGTAACTTTAATTGCAAGACTAATTTTGGAGTATTTTAATTGCTGCTAAATTGGGGATTCAATGAACGTAAAACATCAGCACACAATCTCATGAATAGTTATTATTGATTGTATCGTTTCCTATCTTACTTGTTATTCTACAAATTAAAGTGTTCATGAAAATAAAAAACTAAGCTTTATTAGATTGTGAGAATATTATTTCTTCTACATTCAGCAAGCCTAGTTTACGAGAAGGATAATGTTGAAAATAAAGCAGACATGGTTGGATCTATTTTATCACACAACAATACATCAGCGGTTACAGATTAGGACAAGAACAAAGAGTGCATAGGCTTATGCACTCAGTAATTAGATACAGAGTCACAACCGTAGCTGCTACCTTGACGTGGTGGTAAGGCTTGCCATCATGATGACCCAACCGGACTATATTGACCGGGACATATGTTTCTATAGGTTCTACCATGCCAGGCACGTCGATTGGAGAACGGTGAGACTGAAAGCAGCTATTTAAGGTATGAGGACGAAGTCGTATTGCTGACTGTAGAGGGGTATGACAGCAGTAAGGTGTTTCCCTCGGACAACCAGTATCTGCAGCGATGCTACCGGCTCATAAGGAAGGGAGGGGTTAGAAAAGGTTAACCCTGAAAATGTCACACCTCACCTTACCTCACAGACCACCATCTCCGGCGGTAAAGCCTTTTAAACAATATCGGAGCTAGAAGTTTAAAAACTCATTAAAAAGGCCATGAGTGACCGGGCCCCAAACGGCTGTTTCTTGGGTTCTGCGGTCATACTCCCAGGTCTCTAAGTAGTTTATCAGATGGTCGAAATAACTTATTTTCTTAATTTAACCTGGTCTAAAATTAATAGTAACTGTAACGACAACTGATAATATGACGTGAACATGGTACACATCTTACCAAGACTACCACAACTACAGTGTTTCGGTTGCACTCAAATAAATTAGAAGTCAAAACTTGGTATATGAATCATTAATAATGAGTTAGATGGGTATTAAGAACGTGCAAATCAATTATCTGATGGAATTATCAGTTACAGAACTGACAGTCGTATCAAGGATAGTAGTAACACTACTTTAAACCAGCATATTTCAGCAGTTAATATGACAATCACATAAGTAATTTGGAATTTAAATATATAGTATAAGTATCATTTAACAGACTTATTTAACGCATGTAGTCTCAAACTAAAACAACCAGGTTATAAAATAAGTAATTGAGTATTTCGCTCTGCGTCAGATACCAAGGGAAAATTAATGATAATCCAAAAACAACTTACTGGAGCCTGAATCCTCAACAACAGTCTCATCTCCTCGACGAGGCGCAGGAGTCTTTTCAGATCCATAGTATCCCACTGATACTTTTCCCACTCTTTGGACAGCTTGAACTGGGGTAACAATCCCTCGACCGTCTGAACCAAGTCCCTTGCCCGGTTCATAACCCATTTGTTCCAAAAGTTTCATTCCAATACCCTTTGTGTGTCTTTCCCAAGCTCCAAAACCAGAGGTTGCTGACTTTGCCGCTGCAGCGGCTGCCGCTACCCGTCGGCCGGCTCCAACAGATATGCTTGCATGTTTTCCAGGTTTACGATAAACATCTGAATTTGGCGAGTCAGAGTCTGAATCATGATAAGAACGTAAACTCCTCAGTACACATTTATCATCTTCATCATCTGAAATCTGGTCAGCCTCTTCATCCTTTTCCTTCAGACTAGAGGAGTCCCCTGAGCCCGCCTACAATAACAGAAGAAAGCAAAGGTTTCTAAAAGCTAACATGCTGACATAAACAAGACTTACAAAGAATTTGTTGAGTAAATGATCGATTCAAAAATCAGTATAAAAATGCATATTATAGACGGCTAGTACGCCCAGCAATGATTGCTTTCTATCGTACAATTGAGCCACTTAATCACTTCAGGAGTCTAAAAGTTTTCTGTACATTAAAACACTACAAATAGACAGTTTCAGATATCTTTATTGGAACCTAATAAATCCATACGGCCCAACTTTTTAGCAGTAAATCGAGCAATGCATAACTAGGCGTCACTAAGACTAGTAAAACCTCTATAATAATCGCAACAACTTAAAATCTATCCACAGAATATGTTGGAAACACGAAAGTGTTAGCTTGTTGATGAATTTCCTCATTCGGCACCTAGCCTTCCTGAACATAAATATACACTACCTTCATTCCACCACTGACAAAGTTGATCGGTGCTGAATAATTGGCACCCTTACGCTTGAAACCAGCTTCACGTCCACCAAAGCCGCTCCTTTCAGGCTCTGAATCAGAATCGTCTGAGGCGAAGATTCCGTATATTGTTTGCTTCTTTGTCTGGTTCGGGCGTCGTTTTAAAGGGTCCATCATAAATGAATACTCTGCGTCAGACACGCCAAACTTCTCCATCTCCGGTGACGACCCCATTTATTCGATAACAATTACGACGGCTTTAAAATGCTGCGCCCGCCAGTTCAGCTACACAACATCCACTTTAAGGTATTATAACTAAAAACGAAGGTCGAACAGTGTTGTAACGGTTGCTTACGATATTTCCCGGCTAAATCTTATTGCTTAGTATTCTTGACACAAGACACTGGACAAGTAACACAAATCAGAACACGGTTGAACAGGAAGGATTGTATTCCAAAATAGCAAGGAAAGAAGCTGGAGGTGATGGCGAAAGCCAAGGCAAAAAGGCTTGAAAGCGAAGAAGGCTAGAAGGCTAGAAGGCAAAGATAAATACAATGCTAGTCTATTTATAGCCTTTACATGAGAAAACTTCTGGAAGAAAATTCACGTGATCGACTGGGCTGGATTTGACCAATCAGCATGCAGCTAATAATACGAGAATTTTCTATCCTGTTCTCCAAGCTTCGATCAGGCGCTGATTGAATAGGAAATTAGCCAATCAGCACGTAGTGACGTAATCATGCTTTAAATCCATCTATGTCCCACTAACACCTCCCCTTTGAGAAGATTCGTAGGATCTGGCGCTAGGGTCCAACTGCTTCCTGGGTGCATTGGCTGATTCAGTCCTTTCCTAAGTGCATACGTGAAAAACGAAAGCCAGTTCACAGGTAAATGCGATCCTTTGCTTATTCTTTATTGTGCTGCTTACCTTCATGACGACCATTGCTCGGAAAATCCAATATCTTTTTCACGAGCTAGTATAAACCAATTGATTTGTTTGCGCTCGATTCTTGTTCTTTCGGTACGGTTTCAGGTGTCTGTTAGTATCCAATGAACGAGGTCTAGTCGCTCGACTGTCTAATTCTAGCCAGCTGGCAGTTGGTTGTGAGTTTGTATGCCTCGTGGTCTGAATGAAAACGTTTGATTCAGGGCAGTAGGGTTTCTGGATATCAGCAGCTATCACATTACCAGAGCGGAGATCGGCTAGTTAGAGGCAGACTCATCGACCGGGTACTCTTTGGTCTAAAATCCTCGGCCAAGTGCAGCAAACATCGAGTATGTGTAATTTCGAGTCACATTTTCGGCCAACTTATTAAATTTTTTATAGTTTCCTCCTCCTGAAGAACAAAATCACTCAAGAGCTTGTCCTGAAACGAGTAATATAATCAGTTTTTCACTCTAAACCAAGCTATATCAGAAAAAACCGATTTACGAGATCCTTACCTTTTAGAATTAGGCGACATGGACTACAGTCTAATGACAAACGGCATCCGGAATATATTCAAAATGCTTTCGAATAGTTTGGGAGTTAGGTTTCTTAATGTGCTGGATGGGAAACGCATTCTACCATATGCTTGATTAGTCGCGTAATCCTAATGACACGTATCACCAGATTCAGTACACAAAGTAATATCTACGTGGTTTTCTGCGATGGAATGTGTAATGGTGTGATGGTATGATGTCGGCATACCACCACTGTCCAGCACTCAAATCCCATCAACAAACAGAGAACTTCTGGTGATTCAGGAATTTTTCGGAGAAATCTTCATTTCAGTGATTGATGACTTTGATGTGCTTGTGTGTCGTCTTAAAAGCATTACTCAACTTATTATATACTGGATTTACTTTTAAACTACATTCCTTTTCAATCCGTTGCTTCCCCCGTCTTGGAAAGCATTCGACCCTGTAGAGATAGTGAGAAATTATCCAGCCCTTTTTGCTGCTCATGTTCTTTATTTTTACTAAAGTATAAAAATGTCTATCCTAAAGTGAAGATTTTCAATCAGTAGACACCATTCAGACGAATGGTTCTGAAAGTCTCACTGAGAAAAGAATCGAGAGAAGAAATGTTATCACCGACTTTACTGGAAAACAAAATTTTGATGTGAACCTTTTGCAACAGCTAATCCTACCAAATCTCCTGCTACTTTCGTTTCATTCTAAAATAATACGGTGAAGAGACATTGTTCAGGTTTCTGTTACTGACATTCCTTCAGTTATGATAAAGACGCAGGTGTCACAAAACAAATCTGTTCATTAAAACTCTTTAGCCCTAAAGTCATCCAAAGTTGCGCCTGAAGTTACAATTTATACCATCATCCAAGAAGTTCTTTCAGTGGCCACAAAAATAATATTCCTGGTTAGTGCTGAGGACAGTACATGCAGGGGGAGATTCAGTGCCTGTGAAGAACCTTTCATCTCATCCAACACTGGACGTCTTGATCTTGGTAGTTACTCCATTAGCACACAGCTGCAATCGTAGCTGGTGTACACAGTCCCTGGTCATACTTCCCCAGAGCTGTAGGGGTTCTTTGCCTCGTCAGTTCTGCATCAAAACTTTACTGTACTACAAAGAATTCAGTCCAACGTCAGAATAAAGAAGAGTTCAGTCCATAAACGTGCAATGTAAATCCTGTAATCATACATGAGGACCTGTTATCTCTGTTTACTATTGAATAGACGTTCCGAAGAATAAGTACAGATTTTCTTAAGCGTCGCCACTGGTTCATCCACGTAGAAGAATGGTCAATAGATCAAAGCATTAATATGCCTTATCGCAGTTCTTTCAGCCCCTAGTATGTTCATTAGGAACTGGTTACACAGTGCATAAGTACGCAGAACATCGAACTAGCAAATATTATATATTTTGTCAAGCACCAAGGAAATTAAAATTATTGATCACTGATATGTCGAGGTGGATGTCCTACTTCTAAAATGGCAGAACCCTAACCCCGAACAAAGGAGCAGCAAGGCAATCGGAAATATAGCCAGAGCATTGTGCAACCATCCGTAATGGAGTAGACAAAGTAATGGTGTGTCAGCAGGCAAAATTCATACCGGCTGCTAAAAGCGAAACGGATTTTAATAAGACGCTCTTCAACTTAGGGCTTACAGCAATAAAGGACGAGTTGTGATGTGCGTCGAGGTGGATAGGATTTGAATAATGGGAGGAAAGTTTAAGTAAGAAGCTAGGAGTCAGTTCATCAAAGTTCGATATTCAGCAGGAGTAGGAAAGTTTGTAAAAAACGTTGGTAACTATAGCGCTTATCATCTACTATTTTTCCTCGAGTACCAACCTCCAGATCATACCGAAAGTGTCTGGGCAAGTTCGTTGCAGGCTATCTTGAAGGGTAGCAAACTCAGCATGTTATCAGAAACTTAAGTCTCAGAAGTAGCAAGCGTTTGAGGGTAACCCTAGTACCACTATTTATCAGGCGCGAACTCTGAAAGTGGTAACATTTTTTCACGTGGTATACTTTTCTTCGGAAATTGCTCATATATCGGGTACTATAATGATCTGATCAAATTTTCTATTACATCCGGTACCGTTCGCTTGAAAAAGCAAACTTTGTAAGTTTTTAATCAGTTAATGCAAACTTGTCGTGTGCTAGCATTCCGATATACTGTATATAGGCGGCCCACAACAGTTTGATAACGTTCTTTACTTCTGAATACATTAGTTTAATTCTATCAGTCGACAGACAGAAATTCTTACGCCTGTTAATTGAACAGCTTATCCAAAAAAGATCTCCCACCTCTCACTGTTAACCTAGTTACTACCCAACAAGTTGCACTCTCATATATCTGCATTAGATATACAAGCACTTATTACACCCAATTTTCAATTAGGACCACTAACTCGAGCGATAAAGAAATATCGCCAACTTCAAAACCACCCAAAAGATCGAAACCTGTAAATCCTACGCCTGATAATTCCATAATCGGAAGAGTCACACCTACTTCTTGTGAACCCTATACCTCTTTTTCAAAAATTTCACCATCTTTTGTTAATAGTCTGTGTGATAACTCTTAACTTAGGATACCAACAGTGAAACTCGTTGATATAAGAAGCACCACACCAACGTATACTGAAATGTCAACACAGAATAAAGATCAGTATAGTCTTGTAAAACCAAAGTCTAGATGTTCATAAACCAAGGCGTCGAATGACCCGTCCGACACAGATCATAATGGTAATCACCACGGCAGCGATATGCTACAGTCGCAAAACTTGCTTGCCTAAATTAACGATTAGTTTAACCAGTTAGCACCACTCATGCACACTTCAGCCTCAAATAATGCTAGAAACCCCGAGGAACCAACTGAAGCTGAATGCATCTCAGAGTTTGCAGCTGTGGAAGTTAATGGAAGACTAATATCTTCCTGCAATGGGACAGCATATAATCTTCCTGACTGCATATTCTGGACTAAGCCAAGGGATAACTGTCCTGAAGCGTGTGATTTGTCAAACGTCAGTTGTCAAGTCGTACGCCTCAAAAAAATTCTGATGATACATCTTGCCCTCTTTTGTTCAAATTTGGCTGTTGTAACAACGCCGAACAATTTATCCATTTTGGCAGAAATACTAGCTCATCAACTTTGTAGGAAGACATAAAAGTTACTCCAGATCTAACGACTTGTCAACGCCGCTTTAAAAGAGGCGACAAGATCGCATGACTGTTTTACAGCTGAAAGTCTACTGGAGACAACTCCAAATGTCAGGGAGATAAATAAACTCATAATTCACGCTTTGGATCGTGATGAGTCTAAGAACTCTAAATTTCTAAGTAAAGTACGAATCCCGACTGTCATTGAGAAATCTAACGATATCATTTCTAATCCAGGTTGTTTGAATTTTAAATTACTTAAATACGAGCAACAAAACAAAACAGTTCTAATTAAAACTAATAAACTAAAAACTAGACGCCCCAAATATATCACATGAGAGGACCCGAAATATCTCAAGAAACACGTCTAGGGCACCAAAACACTATCCAACCTTGACTAGGAAGAGTGAACAGACTAAATCTTGGATCTCAGACAAAATGGATAGGATTCAAACCACCTCATCCGCTACTGTCCGAGCTACGATAAACAGATTCATCTTCTAGTCTCGTGAGATGTATCCCTAGCCTTTTTAAGGTCTACGAATGATTATAATAAGAACAAGTTCAACCAACGTCTGACCATGCACACAAATAATAATTATTCCCCCCTGCACAACTACGAAACCCTAGAGTTATTAATGGATGTGGAAGTAGAAGATTTTTGGTCTCATACTCTGTCCCTA